AAAGGGCTCCTTCGGCCTGCTCATGGCCGTGATTTATCAGGAACACCCCCCCCCCCCCCCAGCCCTCCCCTTGCCCTCCCTGCTGGAAATGCTCTTACAGTTGTAGCCACTCCCTCTCAAATCTCAAACTCTCATTTCTTCCCTCTCATCTCATCCCCTTCATCCACCATTTCAGATGCTACCAAGCTTCCACCAAAAGTTAATGGGTAAACAATAAACAAAAATATTAAAAATAAAAGATAAATAAAAAGTTTAGGCGTAGTTAGCATGTTTCCAAAATACTTCCGTTTTCCGTACATGTCTAAAAAACTCAGTAAAATACACATCTTTAAAATCAAATATACAATACATGTATTATACATGTACATACATATTCTTCATGTTTAATACATGTGTTTTTTTTATAAAATTTTCAATAATACATACAAAATTTACAAATTAGACATGTATTTTTCATATATTATTGCAGAAAAATGATATATATTATAAATTGTAAATAAATTATATTAAAATATTATATAGTGGTTGAACTTTTCATTTGTAGACTTCCGTATTTTACTAACTATTAGGGGCTGGAAACTACCTGGAAAAAACCTGCTTCCAATCAGTAACTTTGGAAGTTCCCCCTAACCACAAAAAAAAAAAAAAAAACCTCTTTGGAAGTTCCCCTTGGGATTTTCAACAAGACACTCTTCAATCCGGCTTTGACATTGAAACTTTTGTCAAAGCCGTAATCTCTTCCAACTGCTAATCACTAAATCTCAACGTACATACATACATTGTATCAATATATTGATTAAAAATCTTCATATAGGCAAAGCCAAAACCACGTTGTTTTATATATAGCTTTCCATCTCTCGCACCATTTCTTGTTTCGTCTCAGCCATGTCTGGAGGGTGTGCCTGCTGCTTCTGCCTGCTCTGCAACACTTTCCTCTGCTTCACCCTAGCCTTCTTCACGTTCTGCTACATCTTGACTTCTGATGAGCCCAAATTCAGTATCACCGATGCCTCTCTGACCCAATTCAATTTTACCAACACCGACAACAGCACTCTCCACTACAACCTTGCACTCAACATCACCATCAGAAACTCGAACAAGATGGTTGGCATATACTATCGTCGCATTCAAGTAATTGCTAACTATAGACAGAAGACGTTTGCTATGGTGAATTTAACTTCCGCACCATTTTACCAAGGCCATAAGAACACGACCACTTTGCATGCAGTTTTTGAAGGGCAGCAGTTGGCGGTTTTCGGGGAAAGTAACATTTCCCAATTAAACTCGGACACTGCTGCCAGCATTTACAGTATTGATCTGCAGCTTGCTCTTCAGGTAAGAGCCAGGTACTTTAGTTTCAAGACGGCCGAATACTCGTCTAGCAAGATCGATTGCAAACTGCAGGTTCCTTTGAGTCTTAATGAAACATCCCCAAGTGGTTTCAATGTAACAATGTGCGGGAATGTTCATATCTTGACAGATCGTGGGGACTAACCATAGATTTGACATTTATAGTACTGTAATAGGACCCTTTTTAACATACTCTTCCATATATATATATACACACAAACTAATTCAAGACTTGAATTTGTTTTTCTTTGCTGTTTCCTTCGGGTTGAGAGAATTAATGTGGTTCATGGCTGAGTTGAGTGGGAATATGTCATGGCTATGAAGCCTAAAGTGCAGAGAGGAACACTCAGTTGCTGCAGGCAGGGGAAACACCCACAGGTTCTTTTAAGCTAAATACAGATGGGGCAGTCGATGATCGTTGGGGATATTGTTCTAAACAAACATGAACTATTGGGCGTTCAAGCAAGGTGTTCAATTTTCTATTGATGCTGACTTTCACCCTCTCGTGGAGAAATTGGAATCTATGGAAGCTGCTATACTCTTGAACAATGATGATGTGTGTGGGGCTGCTAAAGCTTAATCTAATAGAGAATATCATGAGGCTGTTCCATGCTCAAGCTAATGTATGTAATGTGGTGTTCAGACCATTTGCTGCCCTCACCCTAGCACGCTTTGTGTTGCGAGAGTGGCGTTTATTTTTGCATTTTTCATATTTGTTGGATTAGCATGTCTCCTTTCTTCTGGAATCTGAAATCTAATTTGATGGTGATTCTCACCTAACAAACAGTAGATGTACAAATTCAATCCACAGGGTATGAGCATCTCTAAGCTAATCTCTTGTCTAAATGGTAAGAAGCAGACTTTTCATGTACTGTGGGTGTTAAGTGGCAACAACAGGACGAAAAGATATCAAAGTGGCCAAAATCACAAATTGGCCATACACCATCCTTTTCCACATTGATTAAAAATCGACCCTGCATCTAGTGTTAAAGTAGATGATAGAAAGTTTCAAAGTTGATGATCATCCCTAGAATTTTAGCATATCATTTAATGCGTTCATCCCATTTTACTTCCATGATTTTTGGTTTAGTTTTACGTTCTTTTACTTTTTTTTCTCACATGGACTAAGTTCATCAACTTACAATCAGTTGAAAAATCATGCCATTATCATTTTCAAGTAACAGGCTCCATTCTATCCATTCAATTTTTGAAGTAAAGGAGTTCACCTGCTCAAGCAATCGGGAGACATAGCATACCATACCCAGGACCCATATTCAGGAATGTAGCCATATTGAGTACCATGAACAGCTTCAATCCAAATTATCCAAATAGTAACCACACTACAAAACAAAGACATGGTAAAAGACAAGAGAATTATCAAGGATATAGACTACTAAATTCAAAATAGAGCACAAAACAATCTGTAATATTGAAATTTCCCTTTGAACATTCTGAAAAAAATACAAGCCTGACATAAACTGACAAAATTAATTTTCAAAACAATCTGTAAATTTACATTTGCTCAGCACTCATTAATCTTTATCCGGAAAATAAAGGGCATCCTTTTTCAGACTTGTATGAGGATGATATGAATCCTCGTAAACTGCCATGTACCTTGTTGTACAATCATGCGGAACCAAATTTGAACAATCACCACAGCAGTCAGCAGGACTTCTATTCATACTCAAACTGAACCTCTACACGCAGATATTTTCTCATCAGTCGGACAATGGACGAAGTGAAGCTTGCTAAAACTTGGCATTCTTCATGGGATTTAACTTCTGAAACAACGCCACAAATAACCAACTTCTTCAAGTTAGGGCATCTTTCTAGAAGTCCGGCCACCCAGTCAGAGAAAAGGTCACTGATTATCGTCCACCCAAGTTCTAACACAACCACGTTCTCCAAAGGAGATGTCCCCTGCAAGCCACAGACATCTCTTAAATCATAACTTAGTGACAGGTGACTTAACCGAGGGAAGCAAACAGAAACAGTCTCCAAATCCACGACCTCATCCTCATCATCAAATACAACACCCCAGAGCCGAAGCCTCTTTAAATTTGATGATTTTGAGATCATGTTATAGAACTTTGGCCACATAATCGTAAAGCTGCTAACATCCACAATCTGAAGATTTTCTGTGTTCTCACCAATATCTAGATGGAGGACACTAACATCATCAATCTTCAGATCCCTCAATGAACCCTTACCAATAAGCTCAAAAGCCTCAAGGGTACAATCTTTCAGGTGCAGATTCTCAACGCTATCAGCCTCCAATATGAACTTGTCTAAACTGACAGCTTCCACATAGATATCTTTCAATGAAGAGCTGTTAAGTTCCATAATTGCCTGTGCGTCCGACATGGCAATATCAGGATTAATAAGGGTCAAATTCTGAAGTTTTGGACATGCGGTGAGCAAAAGGCTCAAATCCAAAGCTGATATACTGACATAACTTAGGGAAAGTGACTTCAAACATGGAAATTTCTGATAACTGGGTTCAACACCTGTTACAGAGTTATGAGCCAATGACAATACTTCAAGCTTCTGCCGACTGCATTTCTCAATGATATTGACATTCGGGGTTGTCCTCACATTATAATGTAGTTGCCGCAAGGTATCCCGGGTATACATGAGCCAAGCTATCACTGGGGCAGCCGAAAATTCATCTACATCGTCCATAAAAATTGATAAACACTGCAATGCTGTGGTTTGGAATATTGTTTGAGTTATAAGAATTTCCAACCTACTTGGTGCCAGATCATGATATACAGACCAATCATTGGAATTGAAAGAAAGAGTATGGAGGTGATTCCGCCAAGCCTCTCTCCATTTCTTGCAAGTTGCGGATGCAATTACCACGTCCCGGGCAGCTTTAAGCCGGGATAATATGTTACCTATGACTTCAACTGGAAGGTGCTCCATACCCAATAAAAAGAAGCCTTAAATGTAGACCTAGGGAAGCTCTTGTTTTCAAAATGCAATAAAGCCCATGAAAGTTAAGAACCCAGCTCTAAAGAAATCCACACCGTACAGTTAAGCATCCAGAACTGTTAAGCCTATCTGGGTTTCAAACAAAATATCAGAAAATCAAGATCCATCATGGCCAAATACCAATCAGCCATCTTTTCCAGATAATTCACGATGCCATCTAAAAATTAAAATTAAAATTAATAAAAAAACCCAGATCAATATTTTGGACTTTCAATATTCGATCAGTGATTCTCAGTACAATCAACATGGCAGGCAGAGACAGCTAGTAGAATTTTGAAAAAGTCCAGTATTTTGGGCATTGAAAACAAGTCAATAATTTCAAAAGTTGGCAGATTTTGGACCGGATCAACATTCAATCCAGAGAAACCATGCAAACAAACTCAATAAGATAGCCCAATTCAAATCATCAAACGAATTTCAACAGCTTAGCATCAATCTACTTCCCCAAGCAATAAAAATCAATAAAAATCAAATAAAAGAGAAACAATCGTAATAGAAAGATAATCAAAGGATGAGAGAGAGAGAAAATCGCTTACCTGAAAGGCCAGGACAACCATGCTCTTGAAGCAAACCAAAATCCAAAAGTTCCAACTATCAATCCTTATCCCCATAATCAGAGAAAGATAATGAATTTGAATTTGGAATTTATTAATTCTGGAAAAGAATGAAAACGAAGAACCAAGCTTGCTTGGTCTAAAAGAGGAGACCGTGAAGAAGAAGAAAATGAAGAAGACTGTGCGATGAGAATAGGGGAACAAAATCTTCTTCTAACATTGTGTGGAAAGTGTAGAGTCTTGTGCACGTGAGAAAGACCCCTCCTACGTCTGCACTAGCAGTTGGCAAATAGGCAAAACCTCCCTCTAACTCCTTTTTTAGGCCATTTCTCACTATACATTACAATTTACAACCCATTTCCTTTCCTAACGTTTCTTCCAATCTTCTTTAGATGAGGTGGATCCTACATAACATGTATCCTACCTCACCTTCAAGAATCGGGAAAGAGTTGGGCTTGTAAGCATTTTCCATAAGAAGATGGTTGGTTTCGAATGTGGACAACTGACAATCGTTAATCGTTCAATAATTTAAAAAAATTATTGAATTCGAAATAATATTCTATAAGGAGATCGAAACTTGTATTATTGTAACAAATGTGGGCGACTCACAACTGTTAATCGGTACTAATTATATGTCAATTTGATTTTTTACAACTTTTTAAAATTTAGATCATGAAAGGCCTTAAGATACTTACACAAAAACGCACCATTTTGATCACACATAAATTGTTTTGATTCACGATAAGAAAATATCTACAATTTTGACTTGAGAAACCATTTTATGGATGCAAGTGTCCCAAGGAGGGGAACAATGCATATTGGTTTGAAGTGGCCCAAAGAGCCAAAATTGTAAACCCTGAAAAACCTAAGTCGATCTTCGTAACACCGAAACAATGGCACAAAAATGTTGAAGGAAAGAAGTACGTTACATAGCTTTACTCCCCAACAAAGTAACAGAGTCCAATTTCACAAACTAATACGTTAAACCTATTGTTCGATTTTGCAGCACAAATCATTTTGATCCTTTCCCTCTACGCTGAGAAAATCCTAATCGGAACGATACATAGCTTCTGCAAGAGTGCATATAAAACTAAGCCTGCAAGGAAAAGAGATGGGGACAGGAGGGGAGGAATGATCACAAAGCTGATCATAGCCATGAAGATCCCCATAGGAATCTCACTGCTGCAATTTCCACAAGTCGGGCGGCTTTTACATGTTCACGTTCACATCACGAAAGTTAATACAAATTCAACAAACACATAAATTATAGATATACATTGTGTTGTTCCAAACAAAATTGGAATCAGCTTTACAGAAGAATATGAACTTTTTAAGACCTAAGTTAGCACTGACTGCTATAACTCAGGAGAGTGCCATAAAAAAAATAATAAGTTAGTAAAGTCTTGGTTCATCGTGAGTTGGCCATAGTTCTTTAAACCTTCTTAGTAGCTCCACTACCACCTGTTGTCATGAAAGACTCTCCACAACCACACTGTCCTTTAGAGTTGGGATTGATAAATACAAACTCAGACCTGCCAACGAAAATAAAAATAAGTGTGAGGAAAACCAGGAAGGCAGTAGTAATTGGAGGCATAAGCAAGTTGTAATGACAAGGGTATCAATGCCAACCGAATAGTGCCATCAAGAAATGAATAACGGGTATCTGAATGCACGGTGGTTAAATTTAAAAAGTTTTCATCAGATCAACAAGGTGTCAATTTATCATGCCTCTAGGTTCTTCTTTAACACAAACCTGTCAAAGGTTCACAATCTCAAGTACTCATTCATTCAGTAATAAAGCAAGAAAAATAACTATTAGCAACCCATCTTGCTTCAATGTTTGGAAGCACACGTAACAATGTTTCTCCTAACATGGCCGGTTGAAGACTTCAGTAAAAGCCTTTTTAACACACACATTGAATTGCCATCAAATGTGCACAGGCACGCATCTAACACCTACACTCTTTCACAATCTTTTTAATTCCTGAACATTACAATAAACAGAGGATGAATTACTAATGGCAGCAGCGGTGGAGGTGATCATGGTCCCATGGTGGTCTTCAATTCTTAATGATGGCTCCGTGGTGGTCTGAATGAAATGGTGGTGAGGCTAGTTAGTATGATGGCAGGAACAGAAGGCTGACCATCTACGCAGGTGACAAAAGGAGGGGAACATTAAGATCAATAGTTGAGGGCGTAAAGCTTAAGCTGATGCTGGTGCTGTTCATTATAGCAGTGCAAAGCAGCATCAATCTGGGTCTGGTATGGGGTGGCATTATATGGTAGTTAAGTAGCAGAAAACCCACCAGGAAACTGAAACATACTGCCCATATGATTGTCGATTGTTGTAAGATCCTAGCCCATTTCAAAGTGTTATATTCACACTCTCCAAAGTTAAACACGAAATTTGAAACCCAATTTTCCTCAGAAATGCTATGGGTTATGGCCAAAACGACAATTGAAAGAGATATAAATTACACAGCAACACTCAATTGTCTCCACCAAATTAAAACCAAAGGACCACACCAAAATCAAAATCAAGCAAACAATTTCATACAAGCGAAACGAATCATAAGAAATGAAAAGAAAAAGAGGACGAGAAGATTAACCTGAGTTTGTCATCTACAAAATCCATTTTGGTTCCTATAACGTGCATGAGCGCCTTTGGATCGATCAATATCTTCACACCCTTGTCCTCAACCAACTCGTCGAACTTCCCTTTATCATCTGCACATCAAAATTGGAGGCACGTATTTATCAAAATCATTTTCATTCAAACAAATTCAAGCATATAAAAATGAAGAACAACAACGAACAAGATCAAACGACGCCGGACCTGCGTAATTGAGAGTGTACGACAAGCCGTTGCAGCCACGAGCCTTGACGCCGAGCTTGAGATAAGGCCGCCGGCGCTGCTCCAGAAGCTGCCGTATACGACTCGCCGCCGCATCCGTTAAGCTGACGGCTTGACGCCTCGCTGCCGGTCCGATCCTCTCGGCTGCCGCCGCCAGAAACTGCGAAGCCATCGGTGAGATTTTTAATATCCTTCTCCCAAAATTGCCTTCACGATCTGAAACTGCTTGTGTTGAACTCGCGCCAGGGTACTTCCGTCATTTGAACGTTGCGTCCCAAACCAGTTTCTGGAAGTTTCGTGGACACAGGAGCGAGAAAATTTATGCTTACGTGTCGCAACAGGATTCGCTTATGTGATAATTACCTCTTTGTTCCATGTTGCGAGATGTTTTTTTACCGCGCTCCGTGACGTGCCTAACATTAACCGTTAATGTCCGAGTTAATCTAAGACCGTCCTCTGATGAGCTTGATGAGAAATTGAACGGTGATGTCTTTAAAGTGAATATGAGGTGCGTCCTTCTAAGGTGAGATTTTAAAATACTCTAATGTACGAGGAAAAAATTCGAACTCAAATGTAAGGGAGAGTACGGATTACCATAGATAATTTGATCTAATTCACATATGTTTAAGTTGGCTATTTATTTTATTTGAAATGAAGGAATAATTGACCTCATTTTGTGAACTGGATTATTTCAATAATTTTTCAAAACTGAACTAATGACCAGAGGCTTCACAAAAATTATCTAGGCATTGCTTCATGAGGATAGCTTGTCGTTGGGAAGCTTCAGCAAAGAGGATAAAATTATACTAGTATCATATTTGTTTTTCGGTAAACTTATAAATGACGAGACTAAACTTATTAAATTGAACAACATGACATATTATGTCTTTAGAAAGAAAAAAAAACACAAAAGTTTGAACTCGATTCAAGCTTAGCAGATGAGAATTCAGTACATCAAACCTCGAATTTACTACATATTTATGTTAAAGAATGTAAAATTCCACATTAAAAACTTGACAAATATAAATATAATATATAATGAGTTGTTCCACTACAAAAGCAGTTCTCCGCTTGTATTAGGTGCATTAATCAAATTTCTGGGTGCATTGCATTGCATGGGAATTTCTGTAGCTGTCATGTTCAATGATTTGGGCCCAAACAATTAACACATGAAATTTAAGGTAGCCCATCAATTAAACCCTACACTGAACGATAAGGGTTTTGTGATTGTGTAGACCTGGTTCCTTTCATGAGAGCCCACACAAAGATGCTCGTCACCTGAAAGAAGCCAAATCAATCACCAACCTCAATCGCTATTTGCTCGCTTTTCTCCATTTTTTCTCAATTTTCTTGCTTGCCTTTATACCTCCACTTCATTATCAACAAGGACCTCGACAGTCTAAATCTGAGTGAGCCACTTTTAAGACTCTAGAAACCGAAGGTGCTAAAAACCCTCCATTTCCGACTGTTTGGGCTCAACGCCCAAATGCTTCCAGGAGTTTTGTTGTTTCTGTTTCCTAGGTTTCTTCAGATTTCTCAGGTCTGTTCATCTAAACCCAGGTGCCCATTTTCTGTTTCTTGCTTGTTTCTCTGAAAATTGGGTGTCCATTTGTTCAGCATTTCTGGTTTGTTTCTTTGTCATTGTAGTAGACTGCTAACTTCATAGTTACTTTGAATTCCGTATAATTTGTTGTTAGCTTTGCTTTTGCTGTTATAATTATAGTCCGGGGATTGTAATGCCTGCTTTGCAGCTTGTTGGATTTTCTGTTTGATTTTGTTTTAATTGACCGTTGGCATTTTACCCTTTGTTCGTCTTGACTGTTTGGGACCAATTGTGTGGTTTCTAAGAATTATTCGGTTTTTGATAAACAGGTAGTGGAAGAAAGATTGGTGGTAGGATTGAAGTTTTAAGTCATCTGGGTTTCTAAATTTCTTGGCATTTATCAACTTACCAGTCTCGCCATTACAAGATGGCGACTTATGCGTCAACGTATTTTACTATTTCTGATACTCGAAACCCAGTGGGACTACTAACAGGACGTGGGGGGAGGTTATTAATGAAGAACCAATTAGGAAACTTTAGCTGCGTGAAAATGGCAGAAGACAAGTATGGTTTTATGGGTGCAATCCATAAGTCGACTTTGACACAAGTCAAGTGCTCAAGCAACTCTCAGAGTGTCAATTCATATCAGAATAAAGACCCTTTTCTGAATCTACACCCTGAAGTTTCATTGCTTAGAGGGGAGGGAAACAATACGGTGAACAATCCAAGAAAAGATATCTCAAGTGGAAGTGTCACTGAGAGCTTAAGTGATAAATCTTCTCCTAGTAATTACAGTGAAGCAAAAATCAAAGTTATTGGTGTTGGTGGTGGAGGGTCAAATGCAGTTAATCGCATGATAGAGAGTGCAATGAAGGGTGTGGAGTTCTGGATTGTTAACACCGATGTTCAAGCTATGAGAATGTCTCCTGTCTTTCCTGAGAACCGCTTACAAATTGGTCAAGAGCTTACCAGGGGTCTTGGTGCTGGTGGAAACCCAGATGTTGGTATGAATGCTGCCAAAGAGAGCAAAGAATCGATAGAAGAAGCCCTGTATGGATCAGACATGGTCTTTGTTACGGTAGGTTCACATTCTGTTCCTCTGTCATGACTCCCCAAAAGATGCCAGTATATTGTGTTATTTTATTGCAAGCATTTCTACTTTGACTTTAAATTTCTCTATATGCAGGCTGGAATGGGTGGAGGAACTGGAACTGGTGGGGCTCCTGTAGTTGCAGGAGTTGCAAAGTCAATGGGTATATTGACTGTTGGTGTTGTGACAACCCCGTTCTCTTTTGAGGGACGAAAGAGGGCAGTTCAAGCCCAGGAAGGAATTGCTGCTTTGAGAGAAAATGTTGACACGCTGATAGTCATTCCAAATGACAAGTTATTGACTGCAGTTTCCCAGTCTACCCCAGTAACAGAGGCATTTAATCTGGCTGATGATATTCTACGACAAGGAGTTCGTGGTATCTCTGATATAATCACGGTATGTGATTTTTAAAGATACTGTGTGTAATATGAATTATTTTCTTAATGGTCCTTACCAGAGTTTTAAAGAAATAAATGAGCTAAGGAAAGCAAAGAAATAAAGAAGAAAAAAAATTGAAAAGAAAATGAGAATGAATACAACAGGAACCTTGATTTTTATTTTATTTCTGCCACGTGTAGACCATAATCTCAATAGCTGATTCCCTACAGTCATAAAGAATGCTTGATAGACTCTAAGAAAGTCATGTTAGTACTTCCCCTAAATGCATTTTAAATATACATAAACAGTAAGGGTATCAGTACTTCTCTGTGAGTAACTGTTCAATATTATCACGGGTTGAAAGTTATTATTCAAAAACTGGCACCCAGTGGTGGAATCTAGTGATGATATATTTGCTAGTTTATTAATACTGATAAACTGATACTAATATTTTTGAACCTTGAACTTATGGCTTTAAAACTTTAAGTTCAAAAGTAATATAGAAAAAAATCAAAATGACGGTATTTGCCTCAAACTTGAACTTCTGGCTGTTAAGACCTTATGAGCAATAGGTTGTTATCTGCTTAAAGTGTCTTTATTTGTTCAAAGGAGTTTTTGATTATTTATTTGTATATCATTGCATCTTTTTATGGAAATATTTTTTTTCTCTGATTACTTGGTCATCACCTTGATTGCAGATACCAGGGCTGGTAAATGTGGATTTTGCTGACGTACGGGCTATAATGGCTAATGCAGGTTCTTCATTGATGGGGATAGGAACAGCAACTGGTAATGTTTTAGCTACTTACTACTAGGATGTTTAGATTGTTTATTTCATGTCAGAGGCTTCACTTATGAAATAAGACTTCATTATTGTGGTTCCAAATTTTTCATATTGCCTTCCATGATGACACCCTTGTGGATAACCTTCTTGTGAAGTTAATAGATTATGAATGGCACCAAGAACTTCTCAGTTTTTCTGGTTAGAGCATGAGGAGGAAAGGTCTGAAAGGAGACATAACCCTAATTTGTTGGAATCTAAAATAGGTTTTTTGGGCTTAGATAGATAATTATGCAATCAAAATGTTTACTAAAAGACGTGATGTTGATTTTGCATATTTTCTCTTAATTAATTAATTTTAGTCGCTGCATTTATGCAGCTAGTGAAAGATCACCAAAATACCGGGTGGTCCATTGTAATAACTGTTGTTATTGGATAAAGAGGTATTAAAATCCTTCTTACCTAGATCTTTGTAACCTTATGTGGTGCGAAGAAAACTCTACTTCTAGTTGTTTCTTTTTATGGTTGTCTTCACAACTGTGTAACTTTCAAGGGTTATAAGAATGGCAACTCCGACTTTACGTGTAGTTTATCTTAAAAACATAATATGTTTCTGTTTTCCGTGATGTATATAATATTCCCTAATTAGAACTGAAAGGGAAATTGTGTATACAGTACACCTATATCATGAATTCTGATATCACAAATTCTGATATCATTTGCATAGACTGTCATGCATTGCCAGTTTTTTTCCTTAACATGCATCTTCATCAAGCCTTTTGTTCCAGTAACGGTGAGCCTTTTCAATTGTTCATAATATAATGCTATAACTATTTTCTAAGGGTTTTTTTTCCCTTGGAGTAGGGAAGACGAGGGCAAGAGATGCTGCATTAAATGCCATCCAATCACCTTTACTTGATATCGGTATAGAGAGAGCTACTGGAATTGTTTGGAACATAACTGGGGGAACTGATTTGACCCTTTATGAGGTACTTTTCTCTCTCTCACTCTCTTTTTTGGTCATACTCGTGGACTCATGGAGTTGACATATTCTTTTGTCTTCTGTATGAGAGTCTTTCCACTGCTTTTTGTCTGTAGAAGGAAATATGTTCTTCCCTGAAGTCAGCTATCTTTAGGAATTACTTTTACAGTTTCACCATTGCATTCCACATCCGCACACGTATTTAGTTTAGCAGTTCTTTGAACAGCCATAGCCTGATTTACATGTAAAGAAAAAGATGCCTTTATGCTTCTCCTGTTCATTCTCTTGCCCTTTCCTTTATCAGGTTTGACTTAAGTGGTCTGAAATATTATGAAGCAAATGCTCCCCTTAATTCTAACCTGCAAGGATGACGTTACTCTGCAATCTTCTTAAGATCTTATTCTAGGGAGGCCAAGAGATATAGACTAAAAGTTTCATCTATTACTTAGTTTTCTCATAGAGAAATCAATTGGTTGACCCAGAAATGTCCTAAGTTCCAATGCGGTAACTCCAGTATCTACTGAGTCCTAAATGGTAGTTGTCACACACAGTTGATACGATGTATTTCTCTTTTCTTACTCTAATTTTCAAATGGGTGTTCTCATAGGTAAATGCTGCAGCCGAGGTTATATATGATCTTGTTGATCCAACAGCAAACTTAATATTTGGAGCAGTGACAGATCCATCACTCAGTGGTCAAGTAAGTATTTTGCTTTCTCTAAAGTAAACATAGCAAAGTTTTAGCATCTGCAGTCCTAGCCTGCACATTATGTCATGAGCCTGCAATATTTTGGCCCATACCATCTTGCTGTACCAGTAATTCAAAAAAAAGAGAAAATTAAAATAAAATTCAACCAATTGATATATGTTTTTGTTTGGTTAGTTATTTCTGCAATTCTACTTGCCAGAAAAGCATTTTATACCTTTTTTTAGTACAAGGTATAAGTAATTAGAAAAAATGTATATATTATTGCATCTGGTGGTGTTTTAGTTGGAGTACATCTTAAAATGCCATGCTACTTGTTTTGATTTTTCATTCAGGTCAGTATAACTCTTATTGCTACTGGATTCAAACGCCAAGAAGAGAATGAAGGGAGGCCACTCCAGGTATTCCTAAACTCTCTCTCTCTCTCTCTCTCTCTCTCTCTCCAGGCCATTCCAGAAACAATTTTGTAACATCTACCAAATTGCAGGCACAAGGAGACGTCACCCTTGGAATCAATCGACGGCCTTCCTCTTTCATGGAAGGTAGTCAAGTCGAGATTCCTGATTTCTTGAAGAAGAAAGGACGCTCCCGCTATCCAAGAGTCTGACATGCCTTTTTGTCCAAACGAGGGCCGTGTCTCAGACCTCTCGGCCTCTTCATTCCTACTAGCTCAGCATCCATCCAAGGGATTTAAATGTGCCTCTGTAGATACTAGATGATAGATCCGCAATATGCCATCTGTTAGTGGTTTCTAGCTTTGATATATTATTAGTTCATACTCATCTGAGTGTATGTTTTCCCTTTCACGTCATTTAGAATCTTAGATCTTGTTTTCCCAGAAGCTTTGAATAAACGCCATTGGCATTGGCATTGGCATGTACAGTGTTTTCCCCCTAGAGGGTGAGATAGAACTTATGGAGAATCATGAATGGCTTGGTTCAGAGAAACTAATTCTTTATTTTTACTTTTTTACTTAGTTTTTGTGGGGATCATCTCCGATATCTGATTCTTGATTTATGCTTTCTTTAACTATCTCAAACAAGAAGTAGCAGCCATTTATATTTCTCAATGAGGTACCACATCTCAGAAGTAACTGTTGGGTGAAAGACATGAGACTCCCCCATTTTGTTGGGTGAAACACAAACTGTAAGTTCATTAATCAATTATGAAATCTGGGTCACTTAGTTGAACAATAAAGATTCAATCATCATAATGATTTGCATCTCCATCAGCAGCGATATTGAATTCCCCACACTCCACTCGATTCTTTGAAGATTCAATAATCATAATGATCTGGGCCATCTAAATGAAGTTTCTCTTTGATCCCCTACCAATGGCTGCCAAATTATTGATGGCAAAGGGTTTGTTGCCTTCCATGATCAAGATGAAGGCCCGGGCAAAGGCTTGTCTCCTTGCATGCTTCTGAATCAAAGCCTAAAATCCCATTATTCCTTCTTGATGACCAAGTCATCTTACATTTCTTCCCCTACCAGTTGGATCAAACGATTGTCAGACAAGCTCTTGTTGGTGCGCAAGCTCAGAAACCAGGCAGACAAGTCTTGTGTGCCTTGAGAACTCATGTGAGTAAATAAGATGGTTCTGGGCAATAATCCCTTTAGAAATGAATCGGCCTTCGAAACACTACCAGTAATCTCCACATGAACATAACCCATCTGCAAAATGGTGAAATCGATTATTATCCCGAACAATAATCTTCCTTCCTACCACCTTGGAGATGTACTTGATTGCAGAATGGCAATCCAAGCACACCCTTAAATTTTTCTTCACAATTATTTGCTTCCCAGCTGGCATACTTATTAGTGCAAATGCAATTGCTATCCTCTCACTGTGATGGTGAAGAAGCTTTTCCTTCGAGCTTTCGTCCATTTCATGTGGAATAGAATCTGTTTGTGGAACATATCCAGCTTCCTTTATCTGATCAAGAAGAGTATCAAGTTTTTCATAAATTTCTTTCATCAGAGGATGAGACCAATCTTCGGCTCCGAAAGTATGGGTTTTGTTTCCAACATCAACCCAACTATAGCCAGGCAATTTCTTCATGCGGCCATCTTTCATCTTCTTCCTCACACTCCTCACATCTTCCCACTGCTGTTCCTTTGCATATATATTTGAAAGCAAAACACGTGCTCCAATATTCTCAGGTTCAAGCAGCATCAGTTTTTCTGCTGCAAGTTTGCCCCTCTCCTGATCACCATGAATCCTGCAAGCCCCAAGAAAAGAGCACCACCCAAAAGCATTTGGTTGAATTGGCATGTTATTTATGAACTCTTCAGCCTCTTTAAGCCTTCCAGCCCGACCAAGTAAATCAATAACACAAGAGTAATGTTCTTCTCTAGGCACTATGCCATATCTCTTCTCTATAGAATGAAAGTAATTTAAACCTTCCTTTACCAATCCAGCATGGCTACACCCTGTTAAAAGACTGACAAATGTTATTGCATTTGGTTTCACTCCTCTGTTTACCATTATAGTAAATGTTTCCAAGGCTTCTTTTCCTAAGCCATGAAGAGCAAACACACTTAACAATGAATTCCATGCAACTTCAGTTGGATTTTCTATCTCGTCAAACACTTGGATTGAATGATCAAGCAACCCACATTTTCCATACATGTCAACAAGAACACTATAAACAAAAGGGTCTCTATCGAAATTAACCTTAACCACATGAGCATGAAGCTGGATTCCTTGATCAGGTGCAGCTTGGTTGGCACAAGCCTTGATCAAGCTAGAGAAAGTGAACTCATTAGGCTCAACTCCCCGCCTCTGTAAGTCAACAAACAAACTAAAAGCCTTGTCAATTTCATCCATCTCAACAAAACCATTGATCAGAGAGGTACAAGAAACAATATTTCTACCATCAGAGTCAATCCAAAACACATTTGAAGCACTCTCCATATCTCCTGCTTTCGAGTACATATCAGTCAGAGCATTGCCCACAGAAACCTCTACTTGAAGTCCTAACTTCAGAACAGTTGAATGAAGACACTTTCCAAACTTACAAACCTTCAATGCAGAACAAGCATTTAACGCACTACAAAGAACATGTTGATCTATAACAATCCCATCATTAACCATCCTCTTATAAGTTAGTAAAGCTGCCTCTGAATCACCATTCTTTGCACATCCATCAATCATTGAAGTCCATGATACTGCATCCTTACACGGCATCTCCTCAAAAACCTTGCAAGCATCAGCCATCAACCTGAACTTCCAATACATATCCGCCAAATTACTACCCACAAATAATTCAAAAGCCAAGCCCAATTTCAAAGCAAGAGAATGCATTTGCCTCCCAATCTCAATCGACCCAAGAAACACGCAAGCTCTGATGACACTTGCAAATGCAAACTGGGTTGGGTTCTCTCCAGCACCCCTCATCTGGGAAAAAGTTTTCAAAGTCTCAGAGAACCTCCTGTTTTGAGAAAACCCAGTTATCATTGCTGTCCAAGAAACCAAGTTTCTCTGAGGCATTTTGTCGAAGACTTTGAGAGCATAGTCGACCTCCCCACATTTTGAGTACATATTGAGAAGGTGGTTGGCGAGAAAAATGCATGGCGGGTACTCGGTGCGTAGAAGCTGAGCATGGAGCTCCTTGCCTCTGTTTAGCTGCTTGGTTCGTGCGTAGGTTTGGATAGTTTGCGCCAAGGTGGTGGCGTCCTGGAGCATGTGCCCGCCAAAACGGCACACCGCTTGAAAATTCATAGAGGGGTGAAATCGAAATTTTGTGGAAAAGCTTTACACATTGCATAAGAAAATGAAATTATGCCCCATATGTCCCTTCCTCACAAAATAGAATAAATTTCCTTTTTTGCTAAATATTTGGGTATTTTGACGTCTCCAATCTCGCATCTCAAGATTTGATGGTATTAAATAGGAAAAAGTACAGTAAACCCCCCAACCTATTGGGGCATTTTCGAGTACATCCCAACCTATCGAAAATTTACAATTACATACACAACGTCACGAAAAATTACAAGAGAGCCCCCTCCGTTAGCTGCCTACGTGGCGTTTAGCTGGACATTTTTTTAAGGGCATTTTCGGCATCTCAAGTCCATGGGTTTCGCGCCAACACAACACGTGGCGTTTTTTAATTCAAAATAAAAAAACCCCAAATCGATTTGCAGATTCTCGTCCAGAGCCCCTCCCCTCCCCACGAAAATCGATTTCCCCCCCAAATCGAAACTTCTTCCCCAAATTGAAACCCAAACCCCATTTCGTGTCGATCGAAAGCGCACAGAGAAGGCTGGGTTGCTGTAAGTCGAGATGGCGTGGAGTCGTCGTCCTCGTGGCTGTCGTCCTCCTCGTTACTGTAAGTTGCATGTGGTTTTATTCCTTCTTGCTTTTTGGTTTTGTCGTACAGAGGTTGCGGTTTTGTATTTTCTGAACCTGTGATTTGCTTTGAAGTGTGCTTGAGAGTGATATTTGTGGTCCATGGTCCATTTCTGTCGGTGTTTTGTTGGAAAAGCATAAAAGGTCAATTTCTGTCGGTGTGTTGTTGGAAAAGCATAAAAAAAAGCACTTTGTTTGTCAGACCAAACTGCTTTGGATTCCAGACAATACTCAGTGGTCCAAAACGTGTGCATTTGTTTATGTCCTTGTGTATTCACCATTGCTGTATTGAACAATTGTTTTGTAGGTGAAGATGATATGTTCACTATTCGAATGAACCATGGGGGTTCTATATGTGACAACCTGTATGTAAATGGGACTGTGGACTTCATTGATTTTTGCGATAAGGACCAAATGTCTATGTTTGAAATTGGTCTGATGGTTAAGGAGTTAGGCTATGATGGTATAGTGTTATATCACTATGAGCTTCCCAACTCTTCTTCTGTAGAAAAGCTTCTCTCTGATGCAGATGTTATGAAAATGTGTGAATGTGTGCCTAGAGTGAGGGAGATAGATATTTATTTGACACAGTTGGCTGATGACCCTTATACCTTTTTAAATAAACACAGAGGTAGAGCTGCAAAGGGTGGAAGGTTTCGGGGTACAAAAACAGAGGTCACTGGTGATTGAGGATCTAGGATATGCTGATTGTAGTCCTGTTGTTCTTTATAACAGAAAGAGCAATGTTGAGCAGGCAACTACATATCCTAAGCCACATAAGGTGAAGATAGTGGAGCAAGAAGCAGTGAATAATGTTGGGGATTTTTCAGAACCTGAGGCACCAAAGAAGGGAAAGGGTAAAACAGTGGCTGCACCTGAGGCACCAAAGAAGGGAAAGGGTAAAAGAGTGGCTGCAACTGAGGCACCAAAGAGGGGAATGGCTACAAGGTCTTCAAAGGGTAAAGCAGTGGCTGCACCTACGGTGTCAACAAGGGGAAAAGGTAGAAAGTCTTCAAAGGATAAAGGGGAAGATAGTGATGCATCTAGTTTTGTTGACAGTGACTATGGGGGGGATAACATTGAGGAGATGGCTGAGGAACACAATTTTTTGCAAAAGTGGATTACAGACCGTGCCCCAGTTGAAGATACTTTTCGGCCTCTTGAAGATGAAGAGAGAAATGAGGGTGAAGGTGGTGGTGTTAATGAGGGTGAAGGTGGGGTCCGTAATTCAGACAACTTGGTAGGTGGGGACCAACCTTCATAAACTGGTCAAAGTGGGGACCAACCTTCACAAATTGGTCAAAGTGGGGACCACCCTTCACAGACTGCTCAAAATGAAGACCATCCTTCACACACTGGTCAAAATGAAAACCACCCTTCACAGACTGGTCAAAACAGGGAGCTGCCTTCTCTGACTAGGCAGTTTGAGTATACAGATCTTCAAGACACCAGGTTGGAAGAGGGGGTTCAAGCAGTGGAGGATGAGTTGAAAAGTGTTCATTCAGATGAAGATGATGAAAGAGATGCAAGGGGGAAAAAATTCAAACACTATAACCATGAAACAGACAAAGAAAACCCTATATTTGATACTGGAATGATATTCAGTGACGCCAAGGTTTTTAGAGAAGCTGTTCGTGAATATTGCTTGTTGAGTGGGAAAGAAGTCACTTTCACCATGAATGAAAGGTATAAGCTGAAGGCAGTGTGTAAGGCAGTGAGTTGTCCATGGCAGATTTATGTGGCTTCGAAAAACACTACAGATCGAATCTTGGTGGTGAAAAACTATAATCCTAGTCACGATTGTGTCAGAGTTTTTGCTAACTCACAAGCCTCAACTAAATGGTTGAGAGATAAGTTCCTGCCTAGGATTCAGACAAAACCCACAATGCCTCCACAGTCTATAGTCAACTCAGCCTCTTCTGAGTTTAAAGTAGGTATATCAAGGATGAAAGCTTACAGTGCAAAGGCAGAGGCGCTTCGACTCATTGAAGGAACGGTTGCTGAGCAATATGCCATGCTCTGGGATTATTGCCATGAGCTGGAAGACAAAATCCATGGCTCTACAACAAATATACACTGTCAGTCTGTTAATGGTGAAACAGTTTTTAAACGACTGTACATTTGTTTAGAACCATTAAAGAAAGGGTTTAAGATAAACTGCAGGCCTTTTATTGGGTTAGATGCTTGCCATTTACAAGGGGTTTATGGTGGACAGTTGGTTACAGCAGTTGGGATCGATCCCAATAACGAGACTTGGGTGATAGCATATGTTGTGGTTGAGATGGAAACAAGGGAGTCATGGACATGGTTCACTGATCTGTTGGCCAAGGATGTGGACATTGTTAATTCACATGGATGGGCCTTTATATCTGACAAGCAAAAAGGACTGGCTGGTGCATTTGAAGACCTTGTGCCTAATGCTGAGACAAGATTCTGTGTGAGGCACCTTTGGGATAACTTCAACAAAACTTATAAAGGTCAAGTTTTGAGGGATCAGTTATGGAAGTGTGCTAGAGCTACCAATGTGCCTTCCTTTAAGTATCAAATGGAAGTAATGAGGACCTTAGATCACAATGCTTGGGAGTGGCTTGCTGAGAAGCTGCCAACACAATGGTCTAAGTCTCATTTCAGAACACTTATTAAGTGTGACATGCTGCAGAATAACTTGTGTGAAAGCTTCAACAATACTATCAAGGCAGCAAGGGACAAGCCAATTATCACAATGCTGGAGATGATCAGGTGCTTGTTGATGAGAAGGATCCAGTGGAGGAGGGACAAGATGAGCAGTTGGCCTCATAGGATATGCAAGAACATTTTTGACCATCTGCAAGACAAAAAATTAGAAGCATGCAACTGTACTGTGCAATGGTCTGGTGGTCCTAAATATCAAGTGGATGCAGGAAGAGGGGACCAATATGTGGTAGATTTGGATATCCACACTTGTTCTTGCAGGAAGTGGGACTTGTCAGGCATTCCTTGTGCTCATGGAATTGCTGCCATACATTACAAAGGAGGGCAAGTTGTGGAGGATTATGTGCATTCTTACTACAGCAGGGACAGTTACATGGCCCTTTATACCAATCTGATTATGCCAATTAATGGGTCACAGATATGGGAGAAGACAAACCAAACAGCAATAAAGCCACCAGCCTACACTAGACAACCTGGAAGGCCTAGAAAGGTGAGAATAAAAGGACCTGAAGAGAGAATAGATAAGACTGGGAAAAAATGGTTGGGGAGACAAGGAATGCAAATGAGGTGCAGTGTTTGTGGCTCAACTAGCCATAACAAAAGGACTCACCATCGAAATCTACCTCCAAAGGATAAATCAAGGGGTAGAGGGAGACCAAGAAACATACCTAACCAAGACCCTGCAATTGCTGCTGTGAGTGCCTAATCTTATTCCTAGCCTATTCATGAAACTGTTTTCGTGTTTGACACCAATGGAACCTGAAACTAATTTTTTTTTCTCTGTAGGAAGAAGCAAAAGTAGCTGCAAGAGCAAGGAGAAAGCTTGCATATGGAAGGGCAAAGGCTGCTGCTGTTGCAAAGAAGGATGCACTAAATGCTTCCCAGCCAAATGCAGCTGATACTGCAGGAATTGGATTGGGAGCATCCAAGAGACAGAGAACATAGTTTATGCCATGTATTGTATTTTGAACTAGTGCAGCTTTTGGTTTTGTGATGTGGCCATTTTGTCAACTTTTGGTAAACTCTGTATGTATTTTGAATTGGTTATATCCCAATTTAGGTGATCAGTCTATGCATTATTGAGCTGCAAATGTTTGCAAAGTATGTATGTATTTTGAACTCAATATATAATGGATCATGCCTTGAGGCAAACAGTCTATGCATTTGGAAATTGCAAGAACATTTTTCATACATAAACATGTTTCATACAAATTGACATGGGAGATTACACAACAAAACGCATTTCATACACATAAAGCACTTTCATTTGCCAAAATATCCCACAAATGGCCACAAAAAACATCTCCCAAGTCTCCTAAATTCTAGACCCTAAAATTGAAGTGCTAATTTCACATTCTTGGAAGATCCAGCGTCTCTCCATTCCAGTACTAGCATTCCCAACAACACAATCAAAAATATCCAAGAACCCAGAACACTTGCTAGTAGAAATCTCCGTGCTTTCAAGCCAGCTCCAACCTCTATTTTCAATTTTCGGTTTTCCTCTTCTTCCTTACGTAATCGTTTCAATAGTCCACATATCACAATCTTCGACCTCTCGCATACCTGTGGATCATACCATTCAAAGAATGCACAACCTCTTCTTACCCCATAATCAGCGCAGCCCCAAAATCTTCTCCCAGGGTTGTTGTCAGTCCACGACGTCGTCAGCCGACATTGATTGCCGCAGTGGCAAATTCGCGGGCCCACTTCGAATCTTCGATTCTCAGACATCGTCGATCTCATCGGCCTCGTCGACATCGTCGTCTTCGTCTTCTTCGAGTTGGAACCTAGCCAACGACTTCTGTCGATTTGGGGCTTAGGGTCTGAGGGGTTGTGGGGGTGTTTTGATTTGGGGGTTTTTTTATTTTAAATTAAAAAACGCCACGTGTTGTGTTGGCGCGAAACCCATGGACTTGAGATGCCGAAAATGCCCTTAAAAAAATGTCCAGCTAGACGCCACGTAGGCAGCTAACGGCTATTCTGACGATCTCGCTAACGGAGGGGGCTCGCTTGTAATATTTCGTGACGTTGTGTATGTAATTGTAATTTGTCGATAGATTGGGGTGTACTTGAAAATGGCCCTATAGGTTGGGGGGTTTACTGTACTTAGTCCTATTTTATATTGTTAGACCAATTTAACTAACATGATCAACATTTTTTATTTTCTTATTTTTTTGGTTTAACATCATCAATAATTTAGATTCTTAATTTGGTTGTCTAATAGCATATCATGTCAAATATCTTGCGAGATAACATCACTCATCTTAGAAAATTCGTCTTCCTTTTTCTAATCAACAGAGAGGGGGATTCAAACTTTAACATCTTCCAACATTAGGAAGGTAAATATAATGCTAAATCAAGAGTCAATTTGACGTCATTTCTTTACATGTTGAATTTGCAAAGATGGGTTTCGTTTAACATCATCAATATTTTAGATACATAATTTGGTTGTCTAATAGCAAAGCATATCATATCAAATGCATTGCACGAGATCACTCATCTTATAAAATCCATCTGTTTTTTTCTTATCAACAGAAGTAGGGTTTCGAACTTCTGTTCTATACATGTTAAATTTGGAAAGATAAGTGTGGTGCACATAAACACCACACCTGCCACCTACTCAAAGATACTCGAGATATAATTGAGCTGAAAGCACTACAAGAAGAAAAGAAAAATATTTCAAAATTTCCACAATAAACAAAATAAAAATCTGTTCCAAACTATCGTCAAGAGTCACAAGTGGTCCAGATTCTCCAATGCCCCACAACAAGAAAGACGATGAACATAATAAAACTGACATTGCCCTATAACAATGCACTTTTATAGTTTCTAACTTTATACTATCTGACCGGAGGCTAAAATGGAAAAATTCTCGACTCTTGTTTTATTATCTGATTTGTTCACCAAAATTTTGAGTGGTTTATGTTATTCATCTTTTTTCATGAATGATTTTATTTTATTATAAGTGGTTGGTGGCTACATCTCGTCAATCTTGTCCCATTTTTTCAGTCTTTTGCCGTGGGGCTACCTTTGGTTTTGGCAAATTTTATGTGGTTATGGAAATAGCTGTTGGTGCACCATTTCACAGAAGACTATTATTGATTTCTAGAGTCATAGGCATCCACATATATTTGGGTTGGGTTTTTATAATAATTCATGCGGTATTTGTAAAAATTACACTAAAGATCTTTTAAGTTTGAGACAAAACAAGAAAGACATGACAACATGGGGCCTTGAAGAGAAAGATGCCCATGTGCGTAATGCACTCTTACCATTCTGACAGTACAAAGATTGTATTGTTCTTCTCCTTTTATGTCCAAAATTATTAGTTGTGAAATGATTTTTCATGTTTTGAATTATGTCACCTGTTTGTGTGATGTGTTTTGAGTGCTTAAATTTCAGAGGAGAACTTCGACCGAAAAAATAATTCAGAGGAGAACAAAACCAAAGGCTGCTAGCAAGTGATGGTGTACAACAATAGAAGAAAATATCTTTCTGAAAACCCCCAAGAAGGTCCCCATCTTGTATTGAATAAAATTGCATAGTGTGCAAATTATCATTAAATTTATAATTCTTTTTTCCCTAAATAAAAGTTCACAACTAACTCCCAAACCCTAATGCATGTCAATGGCGTTTAGACTTTGTTTTGTTGATTAAATGGTCTCAAGTTTGAAATTTCAAGACACCTTAATAGTACGTGTGTGAGAAAAACTCATCTCCCTTCCTAACTTTGATAAAGGAAAAAAAAAAACCAAATGTCTTATTATTATTATATGCGGCCCCAAATCAACATCAACCTCACAATCCTCCAAAAACCCATCCAAGGAATCCCACTAGTCCCAATGGATTTATTATTATGAGAGTCCCGTTTTCCCTTTCTTTTTTGCATTTTCAAACAAGAACTAAGCCACACAAATTGGACTACAAAGCAAATCTCAACCAAGCCACGTACTATTGTCACTAACCATACAAAAGAAAAGAAAGACGAAGAAAAAAACTTTAAGCATTGACGTGTACACTAACCCCCCACCCATTCTAGTTGCATTATTAACACATACAAATTAAACCCCCCCCAGCTTGCTATATCCCTGTGCACACTACCATTCAACAGGAGAACATCAATTGAAAAAAGTTTGAACACGAAGAAGAAGAAGAAGAAGCACCACCTAGCTAGCTTCGCACACATTTTTCATTTTCCTTTTCCCTACTGAATGAGAAAAAAACCGTCTCAAATGGCTCACCAAGTTCCTTTAGAAAAACCCATCAACCAAAAAATTCCATCTCTTCCAACCCTACAAGAACCTGAGGAAATCTCCAAGTCTAACATCAATTGCATGGAGCAAGGCAGCACATCACCAAAGAGGCATGAAAATGATGGGTCAAGCAGTGAAGAAATTGCAGTTTTGGAAGGCCAGGCTTCTGCTGCTGGGGATGTTGTTGTTGTAGATCACGAACCAAGTAATGTGGCTGATGAAGACAGTGGACGTGAGAGGTTGAAGAAGCATAGGGTTGAGGTGGCTGGCCAGATTTGGATACCTGATGTATGGGGGCAGGAGGAGTTGCTTCAAGATTGGATTGATTGTTCTGCTTTTGATGCTTCTTTGTTCCCAAGTGGGATTATGTCTGCTCGTTCTGCTTTGGTTGAGGAGGGGAGGAGACAAAACTCTGCCAGAATAAGAATAGAAAACAGGTGTTGAATTATAACAATAATAATTAATCTTCTCATTTTTCTGAGATCTTTATATTTGTTTTAATTATAGTTATGATCATATACAAGCTCTTTTTTTTTTTTATAATTTACTATTTATGATTATTGATAAATGAAACATTATAAATTGATATATATTATGGGAATGGCTTCTGTTAGTGAAAATGATTCTATTTGCCCCAAAAGAGTGCATTTTCTGACAATGGTGTATGTAACCAGCTTTAGAAATTGGGTTTTTCATGAATAGCTCCATTTATCATTTTCTTTAGCTATATATCATTCAGGGATTGTACATAATTTCTGAAATATAAAGCTCTTTCTAATTTTTTGCATGGATTGTTTGATGTTTTTATCATATAGATTGTTTGGTGTCAGCAAACAAACACCACCAAAATAAAGGGACAAATCAATCATCTCCGAACGATTGTTTGTCTGCTGCACCAGTGAGGATGTTTTTTTAAGTCCTCTTGGGGGCATACACCCAACTGTGAATGAAGAACAAATTGGGCATTTGGGCACCGTTGGAGAAATCGCCACAGCCGTTGGTTCAGCTTAGTTAGTTTAGTTAGTTTGACAACTACTAGGTCTCAAATGCTTAAGAAACTAGAGAATAGGCCGACAGTTCTATATACAGCTAACAGAGTATACTGCCTGACAATGTAGTTCGTAAACGTGATCAGAACACATGTAAGCCAGACATCGTATTTTTGTGAGAACACATGTAAGCCAGACATCGTATTTTCGAACACAAAGTAAGAATTCATTGTTAATTGAGAGGATAATAAGGAATCCGCCATCAGGAGGGAAAGAAGTTGAAAGAGAAATGTCTGAAAGCAAATCTTGTTGGGACTTTCTCTATTGCGAAGTGCAAGTGTGCGGAGTGGATGCGGACTTCTATTTGTCACCGTTAGAGCATCATTGAGAACTTCTATTTCTATCAGAGCTTTTCAGTCTTTTGGTAAGAGCCAAAATTTCCCACTCTTACACCTCCAATCTACTAACCTCTGTTTCTTTCTTCCACCACAACACCTTCTCTTCCCTGTGCCTTCATCAATTGCTATTTGTGACTCTGTATATGCAATACGTCATTTCCCTTCTTCTCTACATTGATTTTCTATTTCTTTCTATAGGGATATCCTCGCTGATTTGGGTTTGGGTTTTACTTGGTCTTCGTATGAACTTGGCTCACTTTTGTTTCGTTTTGAGTTTGGTGAGGTGTTGTACTGCTGGGTGGGATTTTTTTTATATGACCTTGGCCGATCTGTTGTTTAATTATACTCTGTAAGTGCATATCAAACCTGAATTAGATGAACTTTCAACCAGAAAACGAAATAGAATAACTTTGCCAAAATCATACAAAAACAGAGACCAATTAGTAGCCAAATCCATATAACCCATACATCAGTGCTTTCTGTTTTTCCGATTCCAACCTTCGTGATTTCCAACGAAACCCAAATCTTTTTAGTAAACAATCCCATACCATTAGAAAATCAGAAAACTTTGTATAAGCAAAATGGAAAATACCCATATATCATAAAGCCAAAAAAAAATAAAAAAAAAAGAAGAAAAAAAAAAATTCTAACCTGGAGAAGCAGCTGTGATATTGCCAGGGATGAGAACACACGGAAGAGAAGGTGTTGAAAAGAAGATATAAAAATATTATAACCTGGAGGAGCAGCTGTGATATTGCCAAGGATGAAAGCACAGAGAAGAGAAGGTGTTGTGGTGGAAGAAAGAAACAGAGGTTAGTAGATTTGAGGTGTAAGTGCGGGAAATTTTGGCTCTTACCAAAAGACTGAAAAGCTCTTATAGAAATAGAAGTTCTCAATGATGTTTTAAATCTACAGCGTACAAGGAATCTACCGGTGACAAATAGAAGTCCACATTCACTCCGCACACTAGCACTTCGCAATAGAGAAAGTCCCAATCTTGTTAGCCATCCTATAAACAAAACTGTAAGCTCAACCTTCGCCATCTTCATTCTCATAAAGATTCATTACATCTAATTCACATTAAAAATTGCCACATATCACTAACTATACTAAACTTCATGTTTTTCCAAAAATCGAGACTAGTATAAAAGAGAAAACTCAATACATTTGCAATTACACAATTGTTCTAACAGCAAAGAAAAAGGTTCCTTCATCAGCATGCAGATGTCAGCTCCCATATTTTAATCGTCCCGTCATCAGCTGCAGAAGCAAGAATCCGATCCTCCTGAAAAATTCAACAGCAATGTACAAGGGAAATGTTAGTGCATGCATGAAAGTTAGACTTTGTATACAAAAAATGAATTCCTCCAGACATGGTAACCTGTTAATTCAGCAATCTCTCTCACTCACATGACTACTTAAAAAGAATTAATTTATAGAGAGCATAGACAAACTTAAGTCATCCAAAAAGAAGGGAAAACGGTAACAGAGCTCCTGTGAGCAATTATCAGCAACCATAATTGTATTATGTGCAAATTATTTAGTAGGTAATAAGTACGCAGAACATCACTAGTACTCAGCAACCATAGCAGTCCTCAACTTGGTGGTAGTGATGGTGCATTAAGCGCGATAATGGTGATGCTTGAAATGATAGCCGTGGGGTCCTTGATGATTGGCTGTAGGGGTAGTATTGACTATGATAGGGGTGTGGTGGTAATAGTAGCAGTCACAGCAGAAAGTATGGTGACAGAACCAGGACAAGTGATGATAGCCATTTGAGTATAGGTGCCATTAATGGTAGCAGAAAACTAGATAAGACTCATAGAACCTAGTTCTTGTGGACCTTGAATGACAAATTACCCAAAAATTTAGACACAATAATACTGGACTCTAGTAGATCCTCAGAAATCTAGAGTCCAAGCCGGAAAGCCTCAATTCGCAGTCCAAGTCGGCAAAAGCTCCATTCACAGAGAAAAAGACAGGATCTCACAGAACTTCAATGATCTGCAGAATGAGAAATCTTACCCCAGGGCTCCATTGCACCGAATTTATATCCATGTCATGAGCCTTCTCCTTTTTCAGAAGCAATTTATACGAAGGTCCATCAACCTGAATGAAAACACACAATTGGGTTATTTAATACTCCCCAAACCAAATAAGCAAAAAACAGAGCTACTCCAATCATCAAAGCGCTCAATGAGCTTAATTTAATTGGTCCACACCAAGCTCTAGAGAATATTTATTAGCAATTCGCTGTCACAACTAATGGAGATATTAGGCCATTTCACTGGTGATACAAATTCTAATACAATCAATGGGGGTGAAAGATTACGACATACCAGACCATCTTTATCATCATTCTCCACAAAAAATCTTATTGTGTCATCAGCAGCTCCACTGGCAATGATATTGTCCCTGTCAATTTTCAATTAAATATAAATCAATATTTGGGATTAATCAAAATCTTATTTGGTGAATCAAACAATAAACTAATTAAACTAGTAAACTCAATCGAACCAATGCAGCCATGTTTACCTTATATTTTGCGCAGATTGCTACACTATCTTATATTGAATAAAGATCTTAAGTAATTCCTGTAAACTTCCCTATTAAATAGTTCATCTTTATTCTTTCTTATATTTTATAATCTTTACCACAGACCCTCAACAATTGGAGCTATTTCTTTGGTTCCATTACCTTGACCAATGAACTGAAAATATTGTCCGATCATGATAACCTGAAAGAGTGCAAAGATGTCTCCTGACAAAACCAAAAGAGAGAATCATCTTATCAGTGCGACAAGAAAACACAAATGAATTACAACCAAAATGTTAGCACTCTACCAAACAAATCATTTATTCAATTAATTCCTTGGACTCATACTAAATGAATCTAAAACAATTTTCCATGGAACTGATAATGAAACAGTGTTATCAACACATAGAGTAGAACCACATTATTTAATTCCATTCAAAAGCAGCTGACTTCTATGTTGCAACTACAATAACACTAAAAAAACACAGCACTTGTAACTGTAAAGCCTCAGAAACATCTCACACAAACACTCTTCAAAATGAAAAAAATTGAGAACCCTCCAAAATTTTCCAGGTAAACTTGGCATATCCTGACTATCAGGCACAATTAGGAATCTTGACCAAGAGTTTTTTAACCCAACTAAATGTGGGGATGGCATGGCCCCTGGTTTCAAGTTTTTCAACCCATTGAAAGCACATTCTTCTGAAAATAATAAATTCATTCATGTAAGAGGCAATAATAGCTAGGTCAGATCATGTAGATGATTTTCTAATTCTTCAATCATGCACATATGTCCCTTAGTTCAAGCTCAATATGGACTTATTCGCAAAACGAAAAATTATATTTTTTTGGGTCAACTAAACGACAAATTACTTGGGCAACCTAGGATGACACATACCCTTCTCTTTCTATACAATGCACTGTCTGTCTAGGAAACATATAAAGTTTCAAATGCGTGAACGATCACATATAATTGAATATGAAAGCATCGTATTCAACAGAAACAATGGTGGAGGGTCCAAGTGTCAGGACGCTTGAGTGTTCAAAATTAGAGAAAGACTATGAAGAGGAACTCAAAACTCATAAGTAAATAAAGGAAACAAAAAGAAGTATAAATCCAAATGAATATATGAGGGAAGGGAGGGAGAGAGAGAGAGAAAAAGAGGCTATTCAAATTCATCTATTTCTGTAAATGCAAATGTAGCCTACATCACTGCCCAGTGCTAATGCTGAGTCAAATGGATTTTTTTTTTGTTGTCAAAGCTGAGTCTAATGGATATGTCATGGTACAACCTATTAAATATCCCCGCTCTAAAACAAAACCTATAACATCTGGTTAATAAAATATTTAAAACAAGATCAAATAATTCACATAACTGAAAGACCAAATTCAGGGATTCTAAAATGAAAAGAAATCATTCTAATGGAGCATGTTCCTCACCATGGTACAAAGTCATCTGTAGATTGCATGTTTTCATTGTCTGTTCCCCATATCTTTAAAGTAAGATCGTCACTGCAAAATCAGCACATTGTTATTTTATTTCTCCTTTTGAGTACTGTTCAAAACTTCAAATTTCTGTTTTGCATAGATGCTCTTATCAAAACCAATGAAACATAAAAAATGAGAAAACACTTCTGCTTACCTGCAGGTAACCATTTTGTCTCCACCATCATTAAACGATAAAGCCCAGACAGTAGAAGAGTGACCACTAACAAGAAAACCGGTTAAGCCGAATTAGAATAAAAGATATATTTTACAAAAATTGCTAGCAGTTCTACAAACTCAACTGGTTCAGAATAATCAATAGAGGCCATGTATTATATTTAAAAGAAAAATATCCTGCAGTCCTTAGATGAGATCATATTTCTTTTAAATTATGAACAGTTCAGATGCATTGCACCCACGGCACATCTTAGTCGTCCATATCAAATCAATTAGTGAGAAACATGACCTCATTAACCATAAGGTGCTTCGGAGAGAAGAACTACACACACGTTATGGAAACTATTACGTAAAAGAAGGGAATAATTCTGAAGAAGGAATGATGAAGCAGAAAATTTAGAGATACAGAGAGGCTAAGACGTAGTACTTGTTAGTTTCACCTAATGTTTGAACACACGCCCAATCATCATCATCACCTTCATCTGCCCATATCTGCAAGAAATATTGTACGGCATCAGAAAAAAAAAGTATCCAATCTTCTTGATGCATAATTAACGAAAAAATAATCATTTTTGTGGGACAGTAGTAGGGAAGGTAGGAAAAGCACTTAAAACTCTAAACTTTACCTTGACAGTGTTATCATAGCTACAAGAAAATATAAGATTCCTGCTTGGATGCCACTGAACCATCTTCACATCTTGTGTATGGCCTTGCAACACTGCAACACAATCAAACTCATTTCCGGGCTGCACTTCCCATATCCATACAGTTTTATCCCGGCCACAAGTCGCAAGCAGAGACCCAGATGGATTCCAACTCACACTTTTCACTTCGTTTTCATGACCCTATACACAAAAACACCTTTACTAACAAAAACCAAAAGAACCCAACTTGTAAAGTTGATCGATTGAGGTAAAGCGAGAATCTTTCAATGCCATTAACAAAGATACCTCATACCTCTAAAGTGGACACACATTCATAATCACCCCCAACATTTTCCCAAATTGCAGTGGTGGCGTCGAAGCTGGCAGTGGCCAAAAATTTCCCAGATGGGGACCAAGCGCACGATCGGACGGTTCTAGTGTGAGTTTCATCCAAAACTGCCTGCAACCCAAAATTGAAAATTCCATAACAAATTGTCCCATTTAACAAAATAAGAAGAAAAAAAATCAAAATAAAAAGATGGGTAACC